GTACGACTTTTGAAACGCACTATAAAATTCTGTGTGCAGTAAACTGCTACTTTTACTTGGGCCATTTTACGTTTAATTTTTCCAGTACGTTTTCCCTCTGCGTTATGTGCATTGCTTCGGCCTTAATTCTAAAAGAAAGCCAAACTTCACGCAAATCTGGTAGACACGAGGAAAGTAGTCATGAGTGCATAAGTGGGGCTAGCTATTTCTGCTTGCTGCATCTTAACTGTTTTCTCCTGGGAATAAACGTGGTTTCTTGTCTGATGCACACGCAGTTTTCGCAAGGTGTTAGTTCGATTAGTGACACACACAAAAAAGGTGAAAATAAAACTAGCACACGTGTGCAACGTCTACCTCACATGTGCGCACGTGGAGGTGGGTCGTTAGCTACCAGTGTGTTTCCAAGACTTCGCAAAACGTTGTGAATCTGTATTCTTTTATCTAGAGAGGGGATAATAATTCAGCGGCAAATATTGTTGCAGAAAACAGTCATAAAATGGTGCTGCGGGGAATGCAAATGTCTATGTCTTTCACGTGTACTCATCATCATTATGTGGCTTGCCAGATGGCGTAAGCATTCTCGTCTCTATGCAATTCTCAGTCTGTGGTGGTCTGGAACCATTCTATTCAGCGGCTGGTTACGAAATGCTCTACGAGAAGTCAGATGTTTGCGCAAATCAGGTGATGCCTGTGAATTTGCAAGCATGATTAAACTGCAACAACAGAGTGTAAAAAAAGGGGTGAGACTGGATAAGAGTAGTTTGCAGGAAACCCAGAGAAAAAGAATAAATCAACACAGAATTAGGGTCGTGAGCAGCTACATAACTTAGGTCAAGCCTACACCCGTGGTGGTAGAATGGACACAGAGGTCAACCCTACACCCGTGGTGGTAGAATGGACACAAAGGTCAACCCTACACCCGTGGTGGTAGAATGGACACAGAGGTGAACCCTACACCCGTGGTGGTAGAATGGACACAGAGGTCAACTCTACACCCGTGGTGGTAGAATGGACACAGGTGAACCCTACACCCGTGGTGGTAGAAAGGACACAGGTGAACCCTACACCCGTGGTGGTAGAATGGACACAGGTGAACCCTACACCCGTGGTGGTAGAATGGACACAGAGGTCAACTCTACACCCATGGTGGTAGAATGGACACAGGTGAACCCTACACCCGTGGTGGTAGAATGGACACAGGTGAACCCTACACCCGTGGTGGTAGAATAGACACAGAGGTGAACCCTACACCCGTAGTGGTAGAATGGACACAGAGGCGAACCCTACACCCGTGGTGGTAGAATGGACACAGGTAAACCCTACACCCGTGGTGGTAGAATGGACACAGAGGTCAACCCTACACCCGTGGTGGTAGAATGGTCACAGAGGTCAACCCTACACCTGTGGTGGTAGAATGGACACAAAAGTGAACCCTACACCTGTGGTGGTAGAATGGACACAGAGGTCAACCCTACACCTGTTGTGGTAGAATGGATACAGAAGTCAACCCTACACCCGTGGTGGTAGAATGTACACAGGTGAACCCTACACCCGTGGTGGTAGAATGGACACAGAGGTGAATCCTACACCCGTGGTGGTAGAATGGACACAGAGGTCAACCCTACACTCGTGATCGTAGAATGGACACAGAGGTGAACCCTACACCAGTGGTGGTAGAATAGACACAGAGGTGAACCCTACACCCGTGGTGGTAGAATGTACACAAAGGTGAACCCTACACCCGTGGTGGTAGAATAGACACAGAGGTGAACCCTACACCCGTGGTGGTAGAATAGACACAGAGGTGAACCCTACACCCGTGGTGGTAGAATGGACACAGAGGTGAACCCTACACCCGTGGTGGTAGAATGGACACAGAAGTGAACCCTACACCCGTGGTGGTAGAATGGACACAGAGGTGAACCCTACACCCGTGGTGGTAGAATGGACACAGAGGTGAACCCTACACCCGTGGTGGTAGAATGGACACAGAAGTGAACCCTACACCCGTGGTGGTAAAATGGACACAGAGGTGAACCCTACACCCGTGGTGGTAGAATGTACACAGGTGAACCCTACACCCGTGGTGGTAGAATGGACACAGAGGTGAACCCTACACCCGTGGTGGTAGAATGGACACAGAGGTGAACCCTACACCCGTGGTGGTAGAATGGACACAGAAGTGAACCCTACACCCGTGGTGGTAGAATGGACACAGAGGTAAACCCTACACCCGTGGTGGTAGAATGGACACAGAGGTGAACCCTACACCCGTGGTGGTAGAATGGACACAGAAGTGAACCCTACACCCGTGGTGGTAGAATGGACACAGAAGTGAACCCTACACCAGTGGTGGTAGAATGGACACAGAGGTGAACCCTACACCCGTGGTGGTAGAATGGACACAGAAGTGAACCCTACACCCGTGGTGGTAGAATGGACACAGAGGTCAACCCTACACCCGTGGTGGTAGAATGGACACAGTAAGAGACTGGTGGGATTGGGTGAAGTATCGGTTGGCCACAGTGCCACGGGGCTGCTACGGTAGACATGAAGGCATCCTGGCAAACCGGTGACGGTAAAGTTACGACATGCCCCGCACATCAGTGGTAATGGACTTGTCGCTAAAAAAAGAATAGTATGAGATATGAATGGGTAATGGATTTGTCGCTAAAAGGAATAGTATGAGATATGAATAGCTAATGGAGTTGTCGCTACAAAAATAGTATGAGATATGAATGCACTGATCAAACAGTTGTCGTATTTAGCATTGTTGACATTCACCAAAGGAAGAGAGGGTCATAGAACACGATGTAGACCAAGAACAACATGGACAGATATCATCAGAGAAACTCTAGAACAGAACTACGCTTATATGGTCGGGGCGGCCAAAAGAGCAAGAAAGGAGACCTTTATGTCGCTCGACACCCAGATTAGTAACAGAGGAAGTGAAAAAGAATAAGAGGCCGTTACATATTGAAAGATATATCTAGAAGGGTCTGAGCATTTATTAACTGAATGGTTCGGTCTGTAGAGAAGATGATTCATCGACTGTTCTATTCGTGATATTTATCCATTCCTTTGTCTGAGACTATCCAAAATCATTCCTCTCTAATTGACTCTCCAGTTGTCTCCTTCACCCCACTTTCAGTGTATAGCTCTAAGTGTGCCTTATGTTGGGCAAAGCGATTGAGCTATTTGCCTCGCATTCTGAAGTCATGGAGGCAGTTTTTGAAAAAATGTAAATTGAAAGCGGCTCACATGATACTGATCTAATCACCCATGGAGGCAGTCTTGGAAAAAGTGAACCTAGCTGCATATTGGACCTGGTGTGCAAAGGGCCCTTTACTTATGTACTTATATATAGTTCTCCGACCTTTAACTTACTCCTGAGATGAAGTGTCTCCCTGGTGTGTGAAGTGTCTCCCTGGTGTGTGAAGTGTCTCCCTGGTGTGTGAAGTGTCTCCCTGGTGTGTGAAGTGTCTCCCTGGTGTGTGAAGTGTCTCCCTGGTGTGTGAAGTGTCTCCCTGGTGTGTGAAGTGTCTCCCTGGTGTGTGAAGTGTCTCCCTGGTGTGTGAAGGTAACGTCTGTCCGGCTGTAGGAAAATGAGTTCTTACCACCTACCTAACATTCACATATATAGCGGATTTTCTGTCTATGTGTGTAAGGTAATGAACAGGCTGATGGATTAGATATTGCCCCTCCTCTGGGCGGTTGAGTTGAGTTGATTCAAGAATTGACATCACAGCACTCGGGGCATTCCCATGCATGCTCGGTCCTCATCTTCAGCAGCCAGCACAGAGTTCCAATACTGATGGCACCGGTCACAATCTGGTTATATGTCCGTCTTTCCTTTCCTCTTAATGTAGTGAGCCGGCCAGAGCCTCTGGTTACACCCAAGTGCCTCATTCTCTCCAGACCATAATAAACTTCTTTCTCTACTGACTGCGCTGGTTGTTTCCAAAAGGCCTTGACTACATCTGCTTGTCATGTATCAACTCACCACCCAGCCAATATGTCTGCCTGTTCATTACCGACCACGCCGGCATACCTGGAGAAAAGATCCAAAGTATGCTTACTACCGGTGACCTTCCCAGTGAAGCTTGCCACTCTGCTCGAAGCATCCCTGTCTTCACCTTTCTCAGCATGGAGTGTGCTACTTGATGATAAAGCAGATGTGGAAAAGGCTGTCTGGGACCCAATGGACAGTACAAGAGAACAGACAGATAACTCATACATGGAGAGACAAAAGCGGGGATGGTCGGAGGTGAGTAGAGGCTAGAGGGAAACAGAGGAGGGCTTTTCCTCAGGTTAAAACTGGTACTATGGCGTGTCGACTTCTTGTTGGCTACTGACGATGGGGCGGACCATGTGTGAGAATAGGCCGAGTACACTGACGTCCATTCTTTATTCATTCATTAAATCATTCATTCATTCACTTTACAGGAAAGTGTTCAATTTTATTATTGTTTTTATTATTATTATTATTATTATTATTATTATAAGTAGTGCATTGTACTCCAGATGGGATACAAGAATGACTAAGATGAGTCAAGGCCGTAGATATAGCATTGAAAATATAACTCATCAGATAAAAGTAAAAGGTAAAGGACCCTTTTCCGCGCATTTAAGGTGTATTGGGTATATATGGCTAGACCTATATTTTATAGACCAAACAGCACTTAGTGGGTGATGTGGTCAACGTCACGCCGACTGCTTTACTTCCCATGATTTTAGCGCGTACCCATTTAAAGGCTGGGAGCCTAGGTCATATTTTTTGGGGGAAAAAAAAGAATTCTGGTTCCATTTGGATTTGAACCCACGACCTTTGGATCCGCAGGCAAGTGTCTGGTCGCTACACCTTGGTGGATCCCATTCATCAAGTGCTGAAAGATTTCTTAGAGAAGGATGCAAGAACCATATATCCAATAGCAGACGTGTGTGCTTTACCAGTTAACTGATTACAGATCTTATGGATACTAAGCTGTGTCTTGTTTCAGGCGATGCTTGTGACCAGGTGAAATGTCCCAAGCTGAAAGTCTGCGTGGTCAATATGCAGGTATGTTTTTTTCTGTGTTGTCGTAAAATGTTAGACGGCAGGGCTATTTAATTGCGGCGCTCAGGCCAAATCTGACCCATGGAGGTCTTGCAAGTAGTCTGTCGATCATTGCCAGTTGTTTTGTGGGTGAGATCCACTATAATCTCCCCGGCCGAACTAGGTAACGTTCCACTGATAGATTTTTTAGATCGTCTGCTGTCCGGGGGTGTTGTTTCTTTTCTGGCTTGTCTTGCATTTACGTTTTTCTTATGAAAAAGAGAATGCCTGTGACATAGGTTGCAGCACTCTCTAGGAGGATTGTAGGTTAGACCCAGTTTTCTAAATGTTTTTGTAGTGTTAGAAGCGCTGGCGTGCTTAAATATACAACACGCGATATCAATGCATTGCCGAAAACACCCCTAGCAGTGTGTGGAGGTCGGGTGACTGGAGGTCGACCAATCAGAAGCGAGCTAGTGTGTAACGTGGGGGAGATTATAGTGGAACTAACCATTTTGTGATCTTTCTATACCATGGTTGGGGACCTCTGTCCCGTGATGATTCCCATTTTCAACATTTTGGACCCCTGAATAAACTTGAGTTTAATTGTCCTGTTATGCGGACTGGGCTTGTGGGTAATCTTTGACGCTAACCCGATCACGTGATGTTAAAGTAAAGCTTGATGAAGCACGTGTAGACCGTTTTCAATGTCAAATAAAAAGACCGTATAACCTTTTCTTCTTCTTCTTCTTCTTCTTCTTCTTCTTCTTCTTCTTCTTCTTCTTCTTCTTCTTCTTCTTCTTCTTCTTCTTCTTCTTCTTCTTCTTTTTCTTCTTCTTCTTCTTCTTCTTCTTCTTTTTTTTCTTCTTCTTCTTCTTCTTCTTCTTCTTCTTCTTCTTCTTCTTCTTCTTCTTCTTCTTCTTCTTCTTCTTCTTCTTCTTCTTCTTCTTCTTCTTCTTCTTCTTCTTCTTCTTCTTCTTCTTCTTCTTCTTCTTCTTCTTCTTCTTCTTCTTCTTCTTCTTCTTTTTCTTTTTCTTCTTCGTCGTCGTCGTCGTTGTTGTTTTCACCGATGTAAACCTCGGCGAAAAGTTCTGGCTGTTCGTCCACTTCTGGATTTTTGTCTTTCCCTGGATTTTAGCTTTGCATACATATTGGTTCCTTGTCTCTGCAGATGCATTCTGACTTTAGAGAAACCCCAGACAGCACACCCGCAGGGAACCGTCAGTAGAGGGTCTCTGGGTGGCTGCTGGGTCGTAGGACTGAACATTCAAAAACGCCTGGGAATGGACAAAATGCAGTGACCTCGCTTGTGATAATAATCAGAAAAAAACTCCACATGGAAGCAATAGCAGCAGGAGCAGCTACCTGTCATCAGTAGGATGGTCACTCGTCGCAAATTGTTTCGGCTTGATATCCTAGACAATTTCCTGTCTGGTTCATGACGCCAGATCCCGGCTCTTCTGCTGCGTTTAATCGGACAGGGATAATATAACATTGCAAACAAGAACACTCCAGGGATAATATAACATTGCAAACAAGAACACTCCAGGTGAACGCAATGAACTCTGGGTAAGATATTTGCATAGCTCTGGGCGTCGCACTTTTATCCAGAGGATCACGAAAGGAGAAGATATCAATATATTCACCTAGCAATTGGTGTTTCGTCCTTTTTAGGGCGAAATTGTTTGTTATTTGAAGCCCCACCGGGGCTTTTTCCAGGGGCCGCAATATAGACAGGCCATAAATATGGGCAATTATCTGAACGCGGTTTCTGGGACCTCTCCACGGCGATCCTCATCCACATGGTGGCACTTTGTGTCATCGGGTGGTTATCGCTTGTGTAATGTCCTAGTGGGGTAAAAAGTCAGTCAAAGGAGAAGATTATCAGGCACGTAAGCGCAGGGGCACCGGGGTGTGGACCTCTTCAGTCTGCTTCATGAACAAGACACACAAAGCCATCCAGGTATTTAACTCTTTGTCTCGTCTTTGCTGTTTTCCCATCAATCTTGCCAGTCGCAACCCAGTTCTGGAGTTTTCCTTCTCAGCGGATATCTGTAAAACAAAAAGTTCCTAGAATATAAAGCGTGGAAACCCGAAAAGTAGAAAATCAAGGTATCAAATGGTGCCTCCCCCCCCCCCCCCCTCTCCCCTTTCCTATACCCTAAAACGCTCCACATGGCCCGTTTTAATTAATTGATCCGAAAGCAAGTACGCCAAAAAAAAAGTAACGCTGATTTAGGCGCAAAAGAATTATCAATTTTGGGGTTAAGCCCTAAGATTTTCTCGTGTGCTATGTGAACAATTTCACATTATTACAAAGATTTTGAATGATAAAATTACGACGAAATTATGTTTTAGTAGCTATATTTGTCTCCCTCTCTAACCCTAACCCTAACCTTAACCGTGCCTTTAGTAGTAAAGCGCCCCTAAATAACTGCGTGTTTTGTAAAGCGCCATCGGATAACTATGCGTTTGTTTTTTAGTAGTAAAGCGACATGGAATAATTAATTATACAATTGGTTTTTAGTAGTTAAGAGCTATTGGATAACTATGCATAGTTTTTTTTTAGTAGTAATGCGCCATCGGATAACTATACATTTTTTTTTATATTAAAGCTCTGTCGGATAACTATACATTTGTGTTTTTTTTTTTTATAGTAAAGCGCCATTGGATAACTATACATTTGTTTCCTAATAGTAAAGCGCCATTGGATAACTATACATTTGTTTCCTAATAGTAAAGTGCCATTGGATAACTATACATTTGTTTCCTAATAGTAAAGCGCCATTGGATAACTATACATTTGTTTCCTAATAGTAAAGCGCCATTGGATAACTATACATTTGTTTCCTAATAGTAAAGTGCCATTGGATAACAATACATTTGTTTCCTAATAGTAAAGCGCCATTGGATAACTATACATTTGTTTCCTAATAGTAAAGCGCCATTGGATGACTATACATTTGTTTCCTAATAGTAGAGCGCCATCGGATAACTATACATTTGTTTCTTATTAGTAAAGCGCCATCGGATAACTATACATTTGTTTCTTAATAGTAAAACGCCATTGTTTTTTAATATCAAAGCGCTTTCGGTTAACTATACATTTGTTTCTTAATGGTAAAGCGCCATTGGATAACTATACATTTGTTTCTTAATAGTAAAGCGCCATTGTTTTTGATTATCAAAGCGCTATCGGATAACAGAACGATATATAACAGTTTACCTATGTTAACTTTCAGGGGCTGCCACTGTGCACGTGTCCAAACCCTTTTGTCTGCCGAGGAATCAAGAAGAGAGAAGTCTGTGGCACTGATGGACGGACTTACACGTCTCGGTGAGCCTGGCTGGTTTGAACCCCGATCTTGTTGTGTGGTCTCGTATGTATGTCCCCAGCAATAATGTACTTACCATTTAGAATTCCTCTTTGGGTCGGAATCTGTAAGACAAGCAAATACCTAAAAAGATGACATGCTTAAAAGAATTACAAAGAAATACCTAAAATAACAATGAAATACTTTTTTTAAAAAAAATACAAAACAATGAAATACCTAAACGAATAACTCAAAATTACACAACAAACAACGATGGGAGTCGCCGTGGCGTTAGCGGCTAGACGCCCGTCTGCGGATCGAAGGCCAAGGGTTCGCGTCCTGACGCAGCCTGAGTTTTTTATTTTTTTTTTCAGAAATGATCTTGACTCCCAGGGCGACCCAGCCTTGATTGGGTATCAGATGCATTTGGGAAGTAAAGGCGGCCGGCGTGATGCTGACCACATTACCCACCAAGTGCACTTTGGTCTATAAAAAGTATAGCTCTAGCCCTATATCCCCAACACGCCCAAAGGCATGGAAAAGGAATCTTTACTTTGACAAATAACAATAAAATACATAAAAACAATTAAATACTTCAATTTCAACCATGTGGATTCTGGGGCTCTGTTGTGGTGTCATAAAAGTCAACTAATCGGGGGGGGGGGGTGGGGGGGGTCCATCAAAGTTGTAGTACATCAGCCTGAGAGGCAAGGAACCAAGAATCTGCATGCAAATAAGCCACATGTGTGAAACGGATGTGGAAAAAAAAAAAAACTCAGATTCTGGAGCAAGACTAAAGTCCGAAGGTGGACGAACACCCAGAACTTTCCGCTGGAGTTTACAACAGGTTTACTCGAAGAAGAAATAGATATATGCCTTGTTTGAATCGGCAACCATGTGATTTGCTGTCTTTGTGTGTAATTTAATCCGTGTATATCCCATTGTAATCTTTTTTTATTGGGCGTATAGGATTAGATCTTTTTTTAATAGACCAGTCGCTACTCGGTGGCTGATATGGTCTACATCACGCCGACCGTCTTTACTTCCCAGGACTACACCTGGTATCCACTCAAGGCTCGTTCGACCTAGGAGCCAAGGTCATTTTTAAAAAATAAAAGTCTGGCTCCATCAGAGTCCGAACCACGACTTTCGAATCCGCAGGCGAGCATTTAGCCGCTTCACCACGGCTGCTGTATTCTCGGTAGCGATAGTAAATCCAACGTCCCTTTGACCAGGACGTTTTAGGGTGACCCACGATGTCCTTTGTAGCCAAAGTAGGGGTCCCGTGGTGCAAGCGCACTCCATACTTCGCCCAATAACTAGCAAAGCTCTACTTTGTCGTGTTTACCACTTCTCGTAGAGGAGCGGCTGGCCGAACGGTTGGATCGCTGGGCTCTCAAGCGGTAAATCCTGTTTTCAAATCCCCGATAAGGCTGGGGTTTTTTTTTTTTCGGGGGCAATATAAAATCCTCACCTTCACAGTCGTGGCGACAGCACTAGCCATGCGTCCGTAAATTCTCAGGCTCTAAGAACCCACCCCCTCGGAAAAGTGGTAATCAAAGCACTTATTGGCATTTTTACCAATAATCACCTCTCATATCGTGGACGTGAGTTTGAACCTGTAGAGACTGCTTTCACGTTGGCAGTGCTCAATATATTATAGTCTAAGGATGTTTCTATCGAAGTGGAAGTACATCTGCCCGAGGGGCAAGGAACCACTCTGCTTTATGGCAGGGAAACTTGGTCAGCCTATTTGCACCAGGAGAGACGGCTTAATAACTTTCACATGCGATGCCTAAGAAGAATACTTGGCATTAAGTGGCAGGACAAAATCACAAACACTGAAGTACTGGAGAGAGCAGGTACTACAAGTCTTTTCCATGCTCAGTCTACGAAGTCTCAGGTGGCTAGGTCACACCTGGAGAATGGAGGATGACAGAGTCCCTAAGGACGTCCTTTATGGTGAATTAAATACAGGAAAAGGATGTCGAGGCCGACCTCTACTACGATATAAAGATGTATGCAAGCGGGACATGAATGATACACATATTGAGGTGGACTCATGGGAACAAAAAGTCATGGACCGTGTTGTGTGGAAAGGGCATATCAGGAAGGGAATGTAAGTGAAGGAAGAAAAGATTGTAGAAAAGATGAGAGCTGAGCGTTTGAGAAGAAACTGATTAAACACAAATGTTGTTAACAATGGTCCTGAAATCCCATGCTATCATTGTGGAAGATTGTTCTTGACAGGGGCGGGTCTTGCTAGTCATACTCGCCATTGCCATGGGCTGTGAGTCTCATGCCTCCTCATAGCGCAATATAACACTATCGTCTGGAAAGACGGGAAGGTGCCAATGAATGAAAATGAATGAGGATATTTCAACGCATGTTGAGTTAGTCGATATCAAATAATATATATAATGTCACATTTTTTCATCCTCAGGTGCCACATGAGAGTTGCTTCCTGTGATGAGGGCGTACCGGTGAGGAAAAAGCACAAAGGACCGTGTACAGAACAAGACATCGAAACCTTCACTGAATCTATCAGTGAAGACAGGAAAGCAGCCAAAAAGACAAAGAAACGAAAGAGGCGTAAAGGCGAAGAGGAAGCCGGAACCGACAGCTTGGCAGAAAACAAGAAAAAGAAAGACAGAAAAAGGAAAAGAAGAAAGAGTGGAAAGAATCGAGGAAAGAGCAGGGCCAGGAGGCATAAAGGAAAAAATCAAGGAGCTGTGAAAACCTTCGAGGAGACGTTTTCCCACTACAAGTGGAACGCCTAACGCATAATTGTAGCCTATTTATTGACTATTGTGATGCTTGATCTAGGGCAAGTTAGTGCTAGAAATCCATAGAAATCATTGCATTTTTATCCTTTTATATTTCAATGTTAGTTCTAGGCAGGGACGTTGGAGCTTAGAGTCTTAGAAACTTTGGATCCTCCCCCTCCCCCGTACCCCCTTCTCAAATAAAAATTGAAGAAAGGTGGGGTGGGGGGATTGGGTTGAGAGGGCCCCTTCCTACAATTTTTTAGAGAGCTAAGCTCTTCTCCCTCGTCCCAAAGAAGAGCTTTCTTTCTAGGGGTATGCAACAGTACACAGTACCGGTACCTTATTTCAGGCATAATTTTTTAAAGATTTAATGGAATAGGCACCTTTAAAGGAGTATCGGCACCCTTTTAAAGCTACTTTTCGGTGAGTACTCGCACTTTTTCATCTAGAATAAAAGTGTGGCTCCAAACCATGAATAGAAGTTCTTTTTCAACATTTTTAGTTTACACATAGCCTATTATTTCAAATCTATTATATTGTTTTTATTTTACAATTCAGTATATTATCCTTGTTATTATTAGTCAGCATTTAAACAAGGCTTACGGCCCTTACGGACCCACTCCCCAATCTTTTCTTTGTTTCTGTGCCCCTGGTTCTAGGTGTGTGATAGTAAATAAATTTGTCTCACTATTTGTGTGTCTGAGATCCCCATTGGTAAAATATTGTTCAAGGTTTCACCTTGTTAGACTAAGGGTCTCCACACATTTTTACTACGTGGCAGGGCCACCCCTAATACCCTCCCTCCATACCTCCCTCCCGTTCCCGTCCATTATAACTAAAACGGCAGATTTAAAATTAACTCTTTTGGTCCTAAGCAAGTTTAAAACATGGTAATATAAAGAACTCTTTCTCACGCCCTCAAACGTATTGGGCATATAGGGCTAGACCTATATTCTATAGACCAATCGGTACTTGGTGGGTAATGTGGTCAGTACTTACCTGGTACCCACCTAATGCTGGGTTGACCCGAGGGCACAGAACATTATTGAACTGACAGTGGTTTTCTTCTTTTTGCACCCGGCTCTCTAGCGTAGTTGGCTGAACCGGATTGCGCGGTGACCGGGTAACAAGCGCCTTGTGGTCCAGGTTCACGCCCGGGGGTAAGCAGAAAAGCCACATTTCCTCCCAGATTTACGGTATCTATCATGGAATCAAGGCCGAAAGGTTGCGATATCCATAATACCGAGCCTAAGGGTTAACAACTCATGGCTTCTGGATACTAAAACAAACAAACAAACAACATTTTCTTTTTGCACTCACCCGCTGTAAACTCCCAAGAAAGTTCTGGTTATTCATTTTTTTTTTTTCTGGACTTTGGTATTATTTCAGAGTTGTGCGTGCAAATTTATTTCACAGATCTGGCTTATTTGTGTGGAGACTGTTGGTTCCTAACCTTTCAGGCAGACATATTCCGACTTCAAAGAAAATACTCCTAATTAGTCACCTTTTTACAACATGTTTGTTAAGAGGTCAGTGGCTCTATCCCTCCCCCACCACCCCCCCCCCACACACCCATACACACACCCACACACACCCCCCACACACAAACCCCTACACCCCCACACACCACTGGACGACTTCGTCGCGGTGGGACAGTATTCGAGTCTGTCACATTTGATCACTTCCACTCTGCAGGAGTCCTTTTCAGGGCTCTTGATGGCGTGCAGTGCTAAGCTAATTTATAGGGCACACATAACATAGTCACAATTACAACCTAAAGTTCCCATTTAAAGGATGCTTGTTGGACGTGACGAATGTTTCCCGCTGCAAAACATCTACTCACCTAATCAGCCAAAAATATTGGGGTTTACTCGGCAAGAACGCAGCTAAGTGATCCGTAAGATATTTCTCTGCTTTTTTCCCCAGGCTGCAGGAGTAAAAGGGTTCAAAAATTTGGAAGAAAAGAACATCTTTTCCTGCCACGAGTCTTGCGTAAATATATTATCAATGCCCTATTTTTATATCGCCATCTCGTTAGATCCCATCACAGGCATCATTTCTCAGAAGATCGGCTACAAGAGGAAGAGGAGGGCAACGAAAATATGGACTGACAATATTAAAGATTCTGTACGCTTTCTCGGCAGGAATGAATGAATGAATGCATCAAGAATTGACATCACTGCCCTCGGGATATTTCCACACGGGCTCCGTCTGTTTCTTTAGTAGCCAACGAAGAGTTGACATGCTAATAATACCAGCTGTGACCTGTTTAAAAGTCCATCTCAGTTTTCCCTTCAGTGTCCATATCTTCCAGAACCTCTACTGACCTCCCGTTGAATTAGTGTTTTAGTGTATGGATTCCCTGTCTGTTCTTTTGTACAGTCCGTTTGATCCCATAGAACCTTCACATCATCCGCTTTATCTTATGGTAACTCACTGCCCAGAGAAGCGGCAGTAGCTAATCTATCAGTCTCTTCGTTGCCTTGCACAGCTGAATATCCTGGACAGAAAATCCGTGATATGCTGTTGATCTGGGGTCGTCATGGTATGCCAGCCTTCACTGAAGCACAAATTATTCCTCCCCACAACGCTTAATGGCAGAAGTGGTGTTGACGATCGTTAGATCAGTCAGGTCAGAACTTAATGAGTCTTGTAGTCCATATCACACCGACTACCTTTGCATCTGAGGAAACTTCCGCCCCTTCCCTTTCCTGGCTGGGAACAAGGTATGTAAAGACCAGCGGCTAATTGTGATCAGCTAGCATGTCTTAGCATTAGCATTAGCAGGTAACGATTACACTGAAGAACGGGTATCACGCGATATTTTCCTACTCCTCGCTTTGCTGTTGAGAGTATGTGCAGATGACATAGTTGTACTAACAACTGGCAGTTTCACATGTTACAGTTTCCTCATGAGTGGCGTAAACATGCAGTGAGCATTCTCTTGATGTGTTCAAGATGTGAATTGAGTGATGTATTTGTAATACATAGTAACTAGCAATGGTGCATTTTCTTTGGCACATTGCGTACACACCTCGCCTCTGGTAAACACAAGGAATCCCCACCTTCAGTGGTATAGAGCCCAAGACTACTGGGCAGGTAATCAAGCGTTCCAACCACTGTACCCCCTCAGCCCCCTATATGTACTTAAGTATATGTATATTTTGCATGGTAAATAGTTTATTATCTGTACATATAACTGATGTCAAGTAGTATGTATGTAGTGTACTGTGCCATTTTTGATTCTAGTAAACCACGAAAGTGTTGTGGACATCATGCAGTAGTTATTGTCTGTAAAGTGTGGTAACTATATGTACATCTGTTAACTATATGAACATCTGTTAACTATACGTACATCTGGTAACTATATGTACATCTGGTAACTATATGCACATGTGTCACACTTATGTGAATATGCTAGGTAATAACATGTATATGTCTGACGCATTTACACATAATTGACACTATTAACTATATGTAACTGTGTTTATACACTATCTATCTATATCTGTCTGTCTGTCTGTCTGTCTGTCTGTCTGTCTGTCTGTCTGCCTGTCTGTCTGTCTGTCTGTCTGTCTGTCTGTCTGTCTGTCTGTCTGTCTGTCTGTCTGTCTGTCTGTCTGTCTGTCTGTCTGTCTGTCTGTCTGTCTGTCTGTCTGTCTGTCTGTCTGTCTGTCTGTCTGTCTGTCTGTCTGTCTGTCTGTCTGTCTGTCTGTCTGTCTGTCTGTCTGTCTGTCTGTCTGTCTGTCTGTCTCTGACGTTTGGCCAGATTGCTCATCTGCCTATCTGTCTGTTTATTCCATATGTCTGTTATGTCTATGTGCGCATCTGTCTGTGCCCTGTGTCTGTCTATTCTATGCATCTATTTATCTCTTCTGTTTAGCTGTCTGTACGTCACTGTCTATCATTTTCAACACTATGTTGTCTTTATGTTTGTTAGTCTGTCTGTCTGTAACTGTTCATAAGGAAAAGTCAGGATACATTACAAAATGATATGGAGAAGTTTGATACTCGAGGTTTGTACTTTCTGACAGTGCAGTTCGGTGTTAATACTATCCAACATTATGTAGTTATCCTAATACTTCCGTAGCGGTTCAAAGAAAATGGCTAGCATCACTGATCTGAATATGATTAAAACAGTGGTTCTTAACCTCTCTAATGCCACGACCCTTTAATACAGTTCTTCATGTTGTGGTGACCCGGAACCATAAAATTATTTTCTTTGCCATTTCATAACTTCAGTGAATATCTGTTTTCCGATGGTTTCAGGCGACCCCTGTGAAAGGGCTTATTCAACCACCAAAATGATCGCGACCCATAGGTTGAGAACCTCTGCATTAAGACAGTGCCAGACTATATTTAGCTCAGCCAGTCTAAGAGAGTATGGAATAACAATGTTGCAAATTCAGTATCTGGTTTTTAATCCCTACTTAGTCACGAATTACTCTTAGGTGTTGATCCGTCAAATGGCTAACAAGAATTTTCAGTACAGCATAGGAAAAAGGTTTCACTTGACTGGCAGCAGGCATTGATAATACCAATTTGGAAACAGAAAGGCAATACAAAAGACTCATCTTACAGATGTATATCACTCTTGAATCACATAGGAAAACCGTTGTTAGAACGTTGTCCAGACAGACCTGCAACACTTGGTGTCACCAGCTGAAAAGGGAAGGCCAACCAGAGAGATGAATGGAGGCGGGTGTTATCTGCAGCAACGAACCTCAAGGGTTCAGAGTTCTGAAGAAGAAGAACGTTGTTAGAACAGAGCGTTAGACCCATAGCAGAACAGCAACTATATGCATCATCATTTGGCTTCAGGGATGAAAAGGTTGCGGAGATGCAAGTTTGCGAGAAAACCACTGACGATGAACTGAAGTTTGTGTTTGCTGACAAAGAAGAAGCTTTTGATGGAGTAAGCAGAAACAAACTATGGGCTTTTTTGATGAGTATGAGATACAAGGACAGTTGCTAGACAACATCTTGGCCATGTACTAGTTCCCAAATCGCAG